TATAAAAGAGTGCTTTCTGTATCTTCAAGATCAACAAACACAGAATAACAGAATCTCATCTTCTCCAATTGCTTTCTTCTTTTCTCTTCTTACCTAATTCTATCATGGTATCTAGAGCTTAAATTTTTTTTCAATCCATGGAGTCCTTGTTTCCGTCTTCGCAAGTGAAGCTTTCTCACTTGATCTCTGTGAAGCTTGATGAAAGAAACTTCAAGCAATGGAAGCAACAGATTGACGGAATCGTACGCGGTCATCGCCTTCAACATTTTGTTACTGTTCCGGTGATTCCTCAGAGATCACCGTCCGATTCCGATACTACACCACGTGGTGAAAATTCTGCGTACCTGGAGTTGGAACAACAAGACGCACTTGTCTGCACTTGGCTCCTCTCTACTGTATCAGATTCGCTTCTCCCAAAGCTTGTTGAGTGCAGACATTCGTGGCAGGTATGGACTGGAATCCATCGCTACTTCAATACGCTCCTCGCAACCAAAGCGCGTCAACTGCGATCGGAGCTCCGACAACTTACGAAAGGTACTCGCACTGTTACGGAACTCATCGCGCGTACACGCGAAATCAGCGAATCTCTGCTTTCGATTGGGGATCCAATTCCGTTACGTAACCTAATCGAGATCGTTCTTGATTCTTTGCCTGAAGAGTACGATCCAATTGTCGCTGCTGTCAACAGCAAAGATGAATTGAGTTCCTTGGATGAATTGGAGTCGTCACTGTTAGCGCATGAATCGCGCCTTGAGAAGCATCGTAAGGCTGTGGTTACTGAACCGGCAACGGTGAATCTCACTCAGGCGCTGCCGTCGTCGTCCTTGACGGTTACCTCTGATCAACCAGCGCCGACGGACACTTTCCCTCAAGGTACGAGTCACGTGACTGCCAACGCTGATAATCACGCTTATGGTTCTCGTGGAGGTCGTTCCGGTCGTGGTGGTGGTCGCTATGCACGTGGTGGAGGCCGTTTTGGCTACTTTCATCCTAATTTCTGTGTTGTTAAATCTCAGGCTACTTCTGAAGTGTTACTTCGTGGGTCTGTTGGAGATGATGGACTTTACAAGTTCTCTAATCCTACCACTCAGCTATTCAAGTCTAGTTTTCCAAATTCTTGTTCTGCCCAACCTTCAAACTGCAGGGCTAGCTGTAATTTGTCCTTTTCGTCTGCAGCACACAATACTCCTATTATCAGTTGTTTACCAAATTGTATAAATTATTGTAATACTCTTTGTAATCTTGATCAGTTTCATATTAATACGAGCAATTTTACTCATACTCCTTCTCTTAATTCCACTACTTACAATACTCATGTATCCTCTTCACATTCTAATAGTTCATCCTCCATAGCCACAAGTAAATATGTTCTTTGGCATACTAGATTGGGACACCCTAATCATCATTCTCTAGTTGAAGTTTTCAAACTATGCAACTTTCCCAATTTTCCCAAACCACCTACTGAATTGTGTCAAGCTTGCTGCCTTGGCAAGTCTCACAGATTACCCTCTACCCTATCTACCACTGTTTACACTCATCCCTTTGAATTAGTTGTATGTGATCTTTGGGGTCCTGCACCTATAACATCTACAGGTGGTTACACATACTTCCTCACTTGTGTAGATGCCTTTTCTAGGTTTGTTTGGGTCTTTCCTCTCAAACTCAAATCTGATACATTTATCCAGTTTACTCAGTTTAAGAAAATGGTTGAACTTCAATTCAATTGTCCTATCAGATGTGTTCAAAGTGATGGTGGAGGAGAGTTTAGGCCTCTCACCAAATATCTAAATGATTTGGGTATTGTTCATAGGCTCACCTGTCCTCATACTCATCATCAAAATGGCCTTGTTGAACGTAAGCATAGGCATATAGTTGAAACAGGACTCACACTTCTAGCCCAATCCACTCTTCCTCTAAAATTTTGGGACCATGCCTTTGTCACAGCTGCCTATCTTATTAACAGAATACCTAGTCCCACAATTGACAATTTATCTCCCTATTTCAAACTTCTTAATAAGCCCCCAGATTATTCAAACCTTAAGGTCTTTGGCTGCTCTTGCTATCCCTTCCTTCGTCCCTATAATGCTCACAAGTTAGCCTATAGGTCCCAAGAGTGCTTATTTCTTGGCTATTCTACAGCTCACAAAGGTTACAAGTGCTTAGCTCCTGATGGCCACGTCTATATTTCCAAAGATGTGGTGTTTCACGAGTCTAAATTCCCATACCAGTCCTTGTTTCCCACTGCATCTCAATCTTCCATTTCCAACACAAATCTCAATTCTACTAATGCTTCCTCCTGGTCATTACCTTCTATAATTTCATCCCCTGCATCCAGGCAGCCTACACCCTCTCCTTCCCTTAATCCTCTTTCTCCTACTCAGGCTGAACATCATCAATCTGTCTCTCCTTCAGTCTCTCAGTCTGAGTCTATCTCAACTTCCCACTCTAGTTCTACTGCATCCCATATTCCTTCATGTTCTGCTACAGCTTCTCATACTCATGACCAACCAATCCTAGCTAATGCTGACCACACACTTCCCTGTTCTCCTGCCCTCATTCTTTCAGACCCTGCTGAAGCATCTACCATTTCTCCCTCTTCCTCTACAACTGGCTCCTCTAACCCTTCTCCCTCTAACCAACCTTTTATCAATCCTCTCAATGTGCATTCTATGCAAACCAGAGCCAAAAGTGGCATTACCTTACCTAAACTCAATCCCACAATGCTTTTAACTCACATGGAACCAACATCAATTGATCAAGCCTTGGCTACTCCTCATTGGTTCCGAGCAATGAAAGAAGAATTGCAGGCATTGATGAGAAATCAGACCTGGACTTTGGTGAAAGCACCTGATTCTAGAAAGCCAATTGGCTGCAAGTGGGTCTTTAGGACCAAAGAAAACCCTGATGGATCTGTCAACAGGTACAAGGCCAGATTAGTTGCAAAAGGGTTTCATCAGAGGGCTGGCAGTGATTTTCAGGAGACTTTTTCACCAGTCATCAAGCCTGTCACAGTCAGAACAGTCCTTACTATTGCTGTCACAAACAAATGGATCATCCAGCAAATTGATGTCAATAATGCCTTTCTAAATGGCACTCTTGAGGAGGAAGTTTTCATGCAACAACCCCCTGGGTTTGCAGCCTCTGGCAGGTCCCTAGTATGTAAGTTGAACAAAGCTATCTATGGGTTAAAACAAGCCCCTAGGGCCTGGTTTGACAAACTCAAGAGTGCCCTGTTTCAGCATGGTTTTCGAGCTAGTAGGTGTGATCCCAGCCTGTTTCTGCTCCATCAAGGCAAGCTTCAGATCATGGTTCTTGTATATGTTGATGATATCATCATTACAGGAAATTCAGCTTCCTTTATCACATCCTTAATCAAGCTTCTTAATGATAAATTCTCATTGAAACAGTTGGGACAACTTGACTACTTCCTAGGCATTCAGGTTTCTCACCTCCCTAATGGTTCCATTCTTCTCTCTCAAACAAAGTATCTTACTGATTTACTCTCAAAAGTAAATATGCTCAATGCTAATGCCATGCCCACTCCCATGGCTTCTACCAGTAAAATATCAAAGGTGGATTCTATTCCTGTTGAGGATCCTACTCAGTTCAGATCTGTTGTGGGTGCCTTGCAGTATGCCACATTAACTAGGCCTGAAATTTCTTATTCTGTCAACAAAGTCTGTCAATTCCTGTCCAATCCCCTGGAGGAACATTGGAAGGCAGTCAAAAGGATCCTAAGGTATTTGAGTGGCACCATAGAGCATGGGTTACTCTTGCAACCTACCCCTGTTCATCAACCTATGCAGTTACTAGGGTTTTGTGATGCTGACTGGGCATCTGACCCTGATGACAGAAGATCCACTTCAGGCGCCTGTGTTTTTCTTGGCCCAAATGTCATCTCCTGGTGGTCCAAGAAGCAGCAGCTGGTGGCCAGATCCAGTGCTGAGGCTGAGTATCGTAGTATGGCTCTGTTGACTGCTGAGTTACTGTGGGTTCAGTCTCTGCTCAAAGAAATTAATTGTCCCTTTCAAGTGCCAAAAATCTTATGCGACAACTTAAGTACAGTCACACTTGCCCATAATCCTATTCTCCATAATAGGACTAAACACATGGAGCTGGACATCTTTTTTGTGAGGGAAAAAGTTCTGAGCAAAAGTCTCTCAGTAGTTCATGTCCCAGCTCAAGACCAGTGGGCTGACATCCTAACCAAACCTTTGTCTGCTGCCAAGTTTGTTCCTCTGCGTGGAAAGTTGAAGGTGTTTAACAAGAATGACTTATCCAGACCACCCTCAACTTCTAAAGGAGACTAATAGTGTTAACACATTGTTAGTTTACTTTCTGTTGCAGTTAGTTTACTTTCTGTTATACCATTCTGTTAGAATATTTGCTTAGTTGTCACTTTCTGTTAGTGAAGCTTTAGTTAGTTTTGATCTAAGCCTCTCTATATAAAAGAGTGCTTTCTGTATCTTCAGGATCAACAAACACATAATAACAGAATCTCATCTTCTCCAATTGCTTTCTTCTTTTCTCTTCTTACCTAATTCTATCATGAGCAAGCTAATAGATGTAAACAAAAAGATCCAACACAACCGGATGAGCAAATATATTTAGTTCTCTCATTCATAGTCAATCAGCATAAAAATCTCATTTCTGCTATTACTTTCCAAAAATCTTCACCACTAAAAAAAAGTTAAATATAGAATTAACTAATAATAACTGCATCTGCATCTGTACAGCCCTCATAAAATGAAGGTCCAATATTTTCTTATTTATCATCAACTACCACAATAGCAGCCTGCAGCAGCAACGTAACATAGCATCGTTCTATTAAATTCCCTAACAACTCATAACTTAATAATAACATAAAAACTCTTAGCACTAGTGCTTCATAGTATAGTACATAATAAAATATAATTGATTCCCACACAAACACTTGATATCTATATCTATATCTATATATATATTCTCATAAGCATGATCAACTTCAAGTTGCATCAAAATCAGAACAAGTTCAAGAACTCGTGAATCTTCTTTGAAAACCAACTCTTCTCATGACGATCGTGGCTATGGATGTGAGGACGATCAAAACTCATCACCTCACCACCGTGAAACCTCGACAACCGTTTCGGGATCCGGCGATCTTTACTGCCGGAATCGTTCGCCAAGATCATGTCGTTACCGTAAGGGATCTGGCGGTCTTTAGCCAAGATCATGTCGTTGCCGTAAGGGATCTGGCGGCGGTGGCCATGGCGGCAACGGCGGTGTCGGTGAGATAAGGGGAACTCCAACGGCAAAGGACGAAGTACATGGACGTGACGGTGAGATAAGGGGAACTCCAACGGCAAAGGACGAAGTACATGGACGTGACGGTTGATGGGACGGAGATCGGGGAGCGTTACTACCGGAAGGTGGTCGATGGAGTTGAGATTGAACGGAACGGTGTCGTATTGTTGGGGTTTGGAGCGCGTGGGGGATTCGGAAAGTGAGTTATGGAGATCGCGAGCGCGTGAGAGGGTGATAAAGAGGAAGAGTAAAAGTGTGATGGAACAAATAGCGACTCTGGTTGCCATGGTGTGGTTTTTGGAAGGGGGTGGAAATTGGGGTTGAAATAAAGGAAATGGAGAGAGTATAAAATGTTGGACTGGGTGACTTTTTCAAAAGAGGACAGAAGTTTCTTGCTTGTATTATACGAAACCTTTATTTTCTTTTTTAGATGTATTATACGACTGCGTCTATGACTTTACTTGATTACTATGGTAGTGATTTTTCACCTTTTCTTTTTTTAATTACAATTTATGTCTCGAATGGAAGTACGAGTATAAAAACAAATGAATGACTCTTTTATCCATGTAAATATTTAAACGAAATGATTCAATATTTTTCAATGTTCTAATATGGGTTAGAGCAGTAGACATGTCCGGTGTTTTGGTGCACAAGGTTGAATAAGTCATTTAATTTGACTATTCGTTTTAGGAGCCGAGGATTTGTCAATTCAATTAAGAGGTTAAAAAGTGTGGTCAATTGAGACTTAACTCGGATTTGGTAAAGTATTCGATTAAGAAAGAGAAATGTCAATTCAATTTAGAGACTGGAGAGTGCAGTTTATTGAGATTTAACTCAGATCTGGTAAAGTACTCGACTTAAGAAGAGAAGTGTCAACTAAATTCGAATGCAGGAGAGTCCAATTGGCTGAGACTTAACTCAGACCTGGTAAAGTACTCGACTCAGGAAGAGGAGTGTCAACTCAATCAGGAGGCCAGAGAGTGCAGTCGACTGAGACTTAACTCAGATCCGGTAAAGTACTCAACTCAGAAAGAGGAGTGCCAACCCAATCCGAAGGCAGGAGAATGCACCCGGATGGGACTTAACTCGGATTCAGTAAAGTACTCGACTCAAGAAGAGGAGTGTCAACTCAATCTGGAGGCCAGAGAGTGGAGCCGACTGAGACTTAACTCAGATTCGGTAAAATACTCGATTCAGGAATAGGAGTGTCAACTCAATCTAGAGGTCGGAGAGTGCAGCCGACTGAGACTTAATTCATATTCGATAAAGTACTCGCCTCAAGAAGAGGAGTGTCAACTCAATCCGAAGACCAAAGATTACAGCCGATTGAGACTTAACTCAGATATGGTAAAGTACTTCATGCATCCCGCTTCCTCCACCTGTAATATAGAGTGACACACGTATAAAAAAAATTAGGGGTGCCTCGTTAAAAACCCTTGCCCTTGCAAGGAAAAAGAGTGTTACCCTTAATTCTAATTTATTATTAAAAAACATTACAAGTTTCAACTATAATAAAACTTTAGACTTGTTACATTCCAAGCCCTAGGTATCTCGACCCATCTAAATTCTCGAGTTTGTAAGCTCTGTTGTTTAGTATCTCCTGGATCATGTATGGCCCTTCTCAGTTAGGGGCCAACTTTCCTTTTTTTTCTTCGTGTTCGTGATCCTTTTCAGGACTAGGTCGCCTTCATGGAAACTTCTCGATCGAACTCTTGAATTAAATCGTCGTGTCATTCTTTGTTTCGACACTATCTCTTTGATATGGGTCATTGCTCTGACTTCCTCTAACAAATTAATTTCACTTTCCAAACTTTCTTGATTAAGTTCTTCACTGAAATTGGATCGGCGCAACGTTGGCGAATTGATTTCGACCGATATCATTGCATCAACTCCATAAACCATTCGAAAAGGATTTTCGTTGGTGGTTGGATGTGGGGTGGTACGACCATAGTACTTCATAAAGATATTCGACCCACAATCTCTTTGCTTCATCCAGCTTCTTCTTCATACTTGAGAGAATTATCTTGTTTGTTGCTTCTGCTTGACCATTAGTGTAACACCCCAGTTTTTAACAGCGGGAGTGTTTCTTTTTTCTTTTTAAAACAACTGTCTTTGAAATAATACATTTGCGATCATTTTTTCTTAATAAATCAGAGTAAAGCTAGACAATGATCATAATACAATGCCTCTTTTATAAATTGTTTTCTCAATGGAAGGTTTTAAGAACACAAATCAAACATACTGTCTGAAAGAACATAATGAAAATTTTTATTTCAACAAATAAATAAACAGAGTTTACCACAATACAAGATACAAAGAAAATAATAAGGAAGAGTAAACAAGACTTCAACAACAACTCATAAGCTGATCTATGGACATCTAACTGAAGATGACTGGGTAATAACGACCCACAGACAACTTCAAGTCTCATGCTTATCAATACCAAATTGGTCGTCTTCTTCCTATGGCCCAAGTCACTGTGATACCAGCGAGTCTCACAATCTAAAAAGAACATGGGCGTCCAGCATCAGATCATGGATAACATAGAGGGTCACCATCTAAATACAACATATAAACCAAGAATACGATATACAAAATATGCAATACATAGCAACATAAAGTCAACAGCATATCAATTCAATTAAGTGTAATATCAAATGCACAGATATCCTATAAATGCAGACTCTATATGAGTGTGATCGTCCTAACCGAGTTCCTCACATGCATGATTCTGGAATTTCAATCCCTTCGCAAAAGGGTCGTGGTATCGCTTCAAAATTTAGCGCCACTAAGGTGATGGGTATCTACACCATCAATCAGACTTAAGTATTTGATGATCGCAACTGACACATCTCATATAGTCCACCTGACATACGCAAATCACATATATACAATTGCAACATAATCTTTTCTCAAAATCAATTCATATATTTATTCGAAATCATATGAAAGCACATTCACAAGTTTAGCATCATAATGCAAGCACACATTTCCAATTGGGCACACAAGCAACAACACATATTCAAGCAAACAACTCACAATTTCATATCAAAAAGCAATTACACATGCATTCAAGTATCCGGCATTTCCGGTCTACATGAGATGATTAGAGAGTGCTCTAACCTTAATAAACTTCTCACACATTCAACTTACGTTATGCGAGCATGACCTGTCTCACGACGAAGTCTCCTATCCAATTTACACTTTCAACCTTTTAAAATAAATAACTTATTTAAGTTAATACAAACTCAACTACATTCACAAGCCGACTTTATCTTGGTCCCTTAACTACTCTTAATCCCTTAACTACTCAATTAAGTTTAGGTTTTATTACCGTTACTAACTTTATCCTTTTATATAAAAAATATATTTTTTCAAATAGAAAATATTTTTTCTCTTAAAAGAATAATAAAATACAAATTCAAAGAAGCTTCTAACACACTAATTTAAATTGATTTATTATTTTGAGCATCTCATTGTATCAAATACTTTGACCATTCTTTAAATAAAATCCTTGAAAAACAAGTATAAATAAGTAAATAACTAAATAATATTTGATTTGAAAATTATTGAAAATAAACTATTATACTTAACTTATTATTAAGTATACAGATAGTATAGATTGAAAACTACATAAATTTTAATTATTTATTATGCTTAACAAATACACATCATTTAAAATTTAAATTAAAAATCAATCAATTAGTAACTTCCAAAATTTACTACATATCATAGTCTTCTGGCACCATCATTTTATTTCATTACAAATTAAACGTAACATATTTTAAATAGAACAAAACTAAAAATATTTTTTTTAATTCATTGATTCAAATTAAGACAATAATAAAATTTATTTATTCAAATTAAGTCTTGATTCAAGTTAAAACAATAATAAAATTTATCTACTTCAAAACATAAGTGAAATCAAATATATTCCTGTAAAAAGTAAATCAAATCCAATCTGAAATAAACTGAAATATTTAAATCATAATATAATTTAAAAACATGATTATATAAACTTAAAATTAATCTCCTTTAAATTTAAAAATTAATACATATTAACTAATTTCAACCTTAAAATCATTAAACCTAATCATTTTCAAAAATGATATACCAGATAAAAATTAACTTTTATTTAGAATAAAATAAATTTTATTTGGATTGGGCCTACACTTGTCCTTCAAATAGAAAGCCCAAAAACAGACAGCCCAAGTTAGGGACCGTTGGGCAACTCCCCACACGTCTGTTGGAGGACGTGGCCCACGATCTCACGACAGTCATCTTAAACTGTCTTCCGAGAATCACTGGTTCAACCCTATTCTCGCGGAGCAGTTGACTAGGGAGAAGTCCACTTGCTGGATTCCATACACGTAAGCCCTGGCAGTTCCTTTTATTGGGCCTCAACGTGGCCCAATAATAGGGACATTGGCCCAACGCTGTGGGTTATAAATACCCTCTCTTCTGAGAGGGTCAATTATTCAACACTTTCTAACTCTTACGCTTGCTTTCTCATTCCACAACTTACTTTGTCATCGGAGTGTCTTGCAGGTACCCCCCACATCTCATTCAACTTCTTCCCGAGCTAGCTGTGACGGTCCATTCTGATTCGGTAAGATCAGTGGCACCGTCTGTGGGAATCTTGCTTCCCCGTCTTCCTTTTACTCAAGACTAAAGTTAAATCACTCCTGGCCGTCATGGCTGATCAAACTGTAGAAAATAACATGAACGTCCGCATCATCGACGTCAACAACAACAACGTCGCTGACAATAATGTTGGCCTTGACAACGCTGGTACTGCCAACCACAACACGGTCCCCATCGTTAATATGCCTGGTCCCTCAGATTATAGAGACAGAGCAACTGCCTCGTCATCATCGATACCTCTACGACTTGAAGACAATCAGCCAACACCCCAACACTATCAACCCATCCAGTTCCACGAGGTCCCCGTTCCCGCCAGAGCAGACACCACGACCAGGGCACTGTTTGCGACAATAAATCAGACCAACTACCTAATCTTTGCTCAAGGAGAGAGATTGAGGGCGCTCGGAGATGCTCGGAGAGCCCCCAGAAGACACAGGAGACCTCAGTCTCCTCCTCCTCGCCAAGCAGAGGAACATCCCCGATCTCCCCCGCAGAGACATAGTTGGGACATATCTCGAAGTCCCTCTCCCCGAACATCCAGGAGACGCCCCGCATTGGAAAGGGCCAAGCCCGTTGACACAAGGAGACGCGACCACGTCCCCTCACGTCAAGAACGAAGACCCCCTAGAGACAGGAATAGGGG